GCAAACATTCAAATGCCCCAGCCTCCCCCCCCCCCCCCTCAAGGCTTGATGTGACACTACACCGTCGGACCCTACCTTGCTCCAAAGCGTCTCATGGTTCTTATCTTTATCTCTCATCCCCAATGCCAGCCACGTCTGCTGGTCTGCTTGTCCCATACGCCACACCATCAAGTCATACCTTGCTTACTGTTGTTACCTAAATCGACCAAGACATGTACCTTCTGTAGACAGTCGCCTGCCCTCCTCTCCTAGCCATCTTGGGACATCTCCCCGGTTGGATAAGCGGGTGTGATGAACGCAAGATGCTGCTTCTGGTGATGCACCTGTCCCTCGGGTTCTGGCCTATGAGAGTGTAGCTGCATGTGGTTGGACAATGCCCGCCTTTTCTTGTCGGCCTAGGTAATAATATTCAAGTAAATGGACCAGTCCGAAATGTCTCGGTAATGAGGAAGAGCACGATGGAATCATATGTTGATGCCGAGCATCAACAAAGGCATCACATTAACGGACCTTGGTTTTTCTCTCCCGTAAATGTGTGGTCATGCCCTCCATGAGGTATTGTATGTGAGAATGTCCATATTTATTTTAAAAGGACCCATCTACTGCAGGTTCAATTATAATAGCTAGACATGCGGAAGAGACAACTCATTTATGACCTGTCTACTCCTCTGGTTGCAGTAGCTATCGCTCATGTTGAATGGCTTTATCCCTTGATGCCATCCTATCCGCTGTTGAGCTTTCTTTATATGGTCATAACATTGCAAGAACACGCAACAATGACATAAAATGAGAAGAAGAAACCGAAGAAAATCAAGTCAATAGAATGGGATCGCGCCCAGCCCTAGGAATGGACGGGGGGGTTGGCTGTTCGTCATGTACGTAGTAGAGAGCGTCCAGGGAACGTGGGACGAGGGGGTCTGGGAAAAGCCAAGAACGGAAACGACAGAGCCCGTCGGTTCTGAGAAGCCAGACCTGGATCTGAAAAGCAACAAGGGCAAGAATGACTTCCTTCATCCTTGTAACCGTTGCTCGTTGTGTCCGTTCCCATTTCCGACGCGGTTTTGATCGTTTCCCCGCCCACAGTAGCCACAGAGGAAATCTCGCTCTCGCTTACTGATTGACAATTAATACAGAGTATAGTGTCACTTGCTTCAGTCCCTGATTCGATTGCCGCTATGCCATGCCGGGTATGCTCAGTTGAATGTCTGTGGATTCACCTACTCGGTGCGCCACCAAGTCTTTTCCCTCAATGGCATTTCTTGGCCTGAAGCTTTTCGGCTGCCATCCTCCTCGCCCTTGTATGCCCAGTATTCACTCAATCGCAGTTCAGCATATTGAGCGTAGTCAAAGTCAATCTTGGAAATGACAGCTTGGATTTGGGACCAGATACCCCAGTAAAACCCTGGCACTCCTCGGTACGCATCGACCTCGGTCATGAGTTTCCGAACCTCTTCCTCTTCATCGACCTCCTCGCCGGTTAAAGAAAAGTAAGATTTGATGTACTCCCTCACAAATGCAAGTCGTTGATCCTGTCTGGGTACAGCCGAGTAGTCACAGTCATATCCTGCCCACTCTGCAAAGTGGTTCGCCACGTCAAAAGCCGCAGGCGATGGTGTAGCATACTCGTAATCGATGAAGTCGACGGTAGGAGCCGCCTCATCGTCTTCGTGGATGATAACGTTGGCACACAGAAGGTCGCAGTGCGCAAATACAAGCTACGCACGTAAGGTTAACATTTTCCATCAGGTAACTGTATGGTTATGAACGTACCCCGTTCTTGCCCAAGCCAGGCCGCTGGCTCAGTTTCTGGACCATCTCTTCCAACTCCGCCTGCAGCAGTGCTTGCCTCTGTCGCTGAGCGTCCGTATCAGTGGGCAAGGCGAAAATCCATTTCTGCATGGTTGTCCACATATTAGGCGGAGCTTTTCCAGGGGCTGCATTATCAATCTGTTCTTGGCGAGACTTGTTGTTTTCGTTCATAATACCGTTGGTACTCCCCTTGGTCTGGGTATCACCATTGGCAAGCCCATTGAGTTTGGTCTCGCCATTTACATGCCTATCGTCCCGACTATGGTTGGGGTCCGGCAAGCAAGGTACAGTTGCGTGCCAGTGTGCAAGACGACGAGCGATGGCAGACAGTATTAGAGGTTCACGAAGATCCTGGGCACGTGCAGGTTTACCCAGGAGATAACGGTACATCATGCCATTCTTGAAACGGGCAAGCAACTGAGTAGCAAGACCATATTTCATGAGCAGCTCATGGTTCTCAGCCTCACGTTCACGGTCAATGAGAACGGCAGTTCCATGACCGTAGGCTCTGAGCAGGATAGCATCCCTGTCAACATCAAGCTTGGACATGCCAGGACGGTGATTGACGGCTTTCAGCAGAGTATTGGTGATGCCATCAGTAAAACGCACAAATTCAACGTTTGAATCTCGGCTCGCCCAGTCTGGCATGAGTGTCAGGATGAGCTTTCGAGCCGAGTCCTGCGATTCATTGTTGTCGTAGGCCAAGTCCAAGAAAGGCACATGGCCAAAATCGAGATTGGTGGGTGATGTTGTCATGGTCACGCGAGTGCAGCGATGAGTGAAAAATAAGGAGGTGAGGGTAGGCGCTGAGGGGGAGGACGGTTGAGAGGGGGGAGAGTGAGATGGCGGGGTCCCAATAATCGGCGGGCCAGAAAAATTAGGAGAGGTATGTCAAGATGCCCGTTGGTGGGAGAGTTGCCGGAGTTGTTTGCGAACGAGCGAGTCCGAATATCAAGGCGGAAAAGATCAGGTTGAGTGTTGCAGAAGAAAAAAAAATCCAAAGCCAGATAGATTTGTTTTAGGGGTTCAGGGGCGTAAATCCGGGGGCGGTCCAGGATAAAGCGGCGCCGGCGACGGTGGTAGTAGGCAGGTCGTACCGTAAGACGGTGGAGAAAGGGGCACCGGAGGCTCAAGGAGGGGGACGGCCGGGGAGCGGAGGGGTCGGCGAGGACGGGATATGAGATGGTGGTGATGACGGAGGGAAAAGCAGTAGGACACTGCGGTGATGCAGGCAGTGGGTGATATGGGTAGATAATGAATTGGGAGGGAAAGCACACGACCTGTTACCTTTCCAGTCGAACGGAAACCGGCAAAAGTTAGGGACCTCGTGTAGAAATAGTAATAAAGCTAAGGCAGACGGGACGGAGCGGTGTTGGTGCTGGCTGTTGCTTTTGTGGGTGTGGGCCAGTCAGAGAGATGGCCTAGACCTTATGAACAGGAAGGGAGTGCCGTTTTCCGCTGCAGCCTGGGGCTTTTTAGATACGAGGGAAGGATTTGTCGCGTGTCACTCGTAAGGTGGATGTGGATGTGAATGTGAATGTGAATGTGAATGTGATTGTGAAGCGTAGACTGGATGCATGGATGCAATGGAAGGAATATAGGATTTCAGCGTGGATTTACAAATGGTATGAATAGTAAATAGGTACTGCGTGATAATGTAGGAACGAGGTCTTGAGTCCTCTGGCTGAAGGAAGCTGTAAGAAAATACGAGGGGTGTTTGATAAAAGTCGAGCCTCGACCGCTATTGCAGTATAATGTACGATGGAAAGGGGGGAAAATATTCGTCTACAGTACATACTCTGGCCTAGGATCACATGCTCAGATCCATGGTTGTGTTGTCCTCTGTGCCCTGTAGAAATTGACTTGACCATCCACCAAAGTAGTGCTCCTGCTCAAAAGAAAAGAGCCAAAAATAATGTAGCCGGTCGGTAGATTCTAGGGGAAGGAAGAGGAGATGGGAATAAGTGAGAGGGAAATGAGCAATAAATTGTGTTGGGAATCCAGTTGGGTCTGTTTTTTTTTTTTCCCTTCTTTTCTTGTGCGGGAACCAGAATAATTTCTCGCCACTGATATGCGAATAACACTGCCTCTTTCACTGAAATACGACACAGTCCAAAGCAGTCCAACTGTCGTTTCATGACTCTGGATAAATTGATATGTCCTGCTTACTGCGGTCGAGAGGAATTGGCCCGTCGAGTTTCCTCTTGGCCCCTGTTTTATTGTCAATTGCCTATTCTGCACACCGACTCGTGAATCTGACAGGCTATTATACGCTAAACATCGTGGATCTTTTTTACGTTGCTTGAACCCTTACGGTGCCAGCCAAAAGGGCCTCCCTCATTGGTCACCATTTACGCAAGGTAACGCCTGTGACAAAGAAACAGCTCGATCATTAGCGAAGGACATGCTAATATGAATTCATTCGTTTCCCTAGGTATGCATGCTACCCCTTCCCTTCCTTTCCCTTCTTCCGCCTTTCTGAAAAGAACCTAGACGCCACATGAATTGTCCGTACCTCAGGCAGGCTAAGGGTACCTTAGGGTAAGAGAGGTAGTAGATTAGTATGTCATGAGCCTCATTTGAAACCCCCACCTCGTACCTCGCTTATCCCTGATGCCCGTGCTTGACCCTCCCTTCCCTCGTACCTATTTGCGAAAGTGTGGCGCTCATGAGGCTCACGCACCTGAGGCGTAGTCATCTAGTAAGTTAGTTAGTTCATCGGGCAAACCCCATCGCGACAAACCACATCTGAAATAGGTGCCTGGTACCTACTACTCGTCCAAGACTTACATAAGGTCAACAACGTTACCACTTCATGTGACAAACAATAGCTACTTTTACCTGAGCTCAGTCTTATCATGTGAAACCCGTCACTATGGCTGTGCCGAGTGTTACTAGCGACAATTTCCTCGCCGTTGCTCTTGTAGTCAATCGCTCTCGCGATGGCCCAGCATTTGTGTTCCACTATCCAGCAAACATCGAACCTCATTCCAAGTCAAGTTCTTCTACAGGTGCCGAGCTTGAGGATATTCTTCTTGAACGGCTCTCGCAGCAGAGCTTCTCGGATGTTGCCGGCGACGTACCTCTCCCCAAGCAGGGACGCAACGCAGACGAGCACTCTTTTACTGAATCTGGATCTCAGATTGTTCCGTGGGAACGTGTTGCAGGCTTCCCTGCTCGCGATCTTGCGGGCATTCTGACTCCCGCCCGCCCCTACCACAAGAAACTCTTTCAGCTGTCATTAGATCCACTATATTGTGTATCTTACCCTATCCACGTCCCTGAAAATGGCAGATGGAAGAAGCCGAAGAAGGCATCCCGCGCTGATAAGCGCTCTACGTACAACGAAGACCAACCAGCGCCTCATGAGGTCGATCCCCTACCTTCAGGAAAGGCGCCTGAGCAACCCGTAGAGGAAAAGGACGGCAAGAAGGAAGATGGCAAGGACAAGGACGATGAGAAACGCAGCTCCATGACCATGTTTAACCTCGTCTTCATCCTTAACCCTAGCAGCAACGAAGTTAAGGATGTTGTTGAATCCATATACGACCACATTATAAAGAAGGTTAGCAAGGCCTTCAAATACAGCCAGCAACATAGCGAATTTGTGTGGAAAGAGTCGAAACGAATACTTGTCGCCAAGGATAAGGCGCGAGAGGAGCGTATGTTCTGCTCAAAACTTTATCAAATTACTCACAATTAAACATTGATCAGGGAAACGAATGAGTGTTCTTTGGAAAGAAATACTTCAGAGCTCATCACTGGCCGCTGCCATGCACGATATATATGAGGCAGTGTCTCAAAACAAGATTGCCGCTCTGCATCTCGATACTGCTGCTGGCTCTCTGACCCCTTCGGTTCAGATTCCTATTCCTTTCTACATCGATGACCTCCCTCAGGGCGAAGAGGGGACCCAGCGCGGCCTTTGGCTCACTACCGCCAATACCTTCATCAGCCAGGATGCCCTCGAGGAGCCTGGTTTTCTTGATCGCAACTTTGCTTTACTACTCACTGATGATGAAAAGAAAATCATCGACGAGCTCCAGGCTGATCCAGACCCAACTACAGCCTCAATGGTTGAATTTGTACGGCTGTCAAAGCCAACACAATCGTATGTGACTCACCACATCTAACCCCGACCCTTCACTTAGCTCAACATGTCTATAGATTCTACCAAGTTGGTCAAAGCAACATCTTGACCCTGGGCCAAGTGCGAAAATATGCTCAGCATTTCATATTCTGGCGTCGTGCCATTGCTATCCCTCCCCTCCACGCCAAGGATCAATACATACTATCTCCCAATAGTGACTTATCCCGTCTTCCTCTCGATACTTTAGAATGGCAGAGAGCGTTCCCCCTGGCTCCACCACTTCCGAACTTTCTCGCTGAGCTCTCTCAAGCACCTCGTCCATACAAGCAGTTTTCGCCTAGCAAAGCCCACCGCCCAACCTATCTTCTTATGCTTTCCTGGCTCATGCGCCGCGGTTGGGTGACCCAACTCTGTACATTTGCCTACGTCGTCGTCTGGCCTGAAATCATGTATGAGGTTGAGTACGAGATAGAAGCCGAGGAGCTCCGTGCCGCCGCGGATGCAGATGCGTACAAAAGCAAAGAAAAAGCGGCCAAAGACGATGCCTCTACGTCTGCCTCGGTCCCACGCACCTCCGAGTCTTCCGAAGGCCACTCCGGCACTGACGGCTCTCATGTCCCCACCGTTGCCGAGCAGGCCGCTGAGAAAGCCCGTCTCGAGCGGATTGCCTCTAAAGCCCAGCGCGATGCTGCTGAAAAGGCGACAGCACATGCTCGTAAGCCTGTCCCAGTCGCAACGGCACATCCGTCTGTAAACGACCACCCGCATCTCCAAGGCTTGACACCTCACATCATCCTCGATGCCAAGAAGGCCACCGGCAAGGAATCACGCTACCTGTCCGCCATCGCCCGTCGTTTCAACGACGAAAAACTAGCAAACAGTTGGCAGGTTATGTGCAAGTATTTTGATGGCCGATGTGCCTTGGAACGCATCGCTTTACAGGAGGACATGAAGCGGAAGCTGGTATGGAACACACTGACAGCTATGAGCGAGTATTTGCTATGCACCCGTCATTGGTGACCCAGCTGGCTAAAATTCCTGCGGCACGCTTCTTCCGTGTCCAAATGTTGAGATGTGGTCATGGATAGAAACATTTATAAGGATAAGTATCTCGCGTGTGGTATCTAGGCAATAAAAAGCAACGAAACAGCTGCACAACTGCAGCACGTACAATGAGTCAGAGCACTCTTCCAGTACAGTAAAGGATCTACTTCCATTCGCCTTGTTACCAAAATTTGGACCAAAAAGCACCGTGCGTAGTAGACTGCAAGGAGGAAAGGGGGAGTGGAGAGAAGCGAAGATTCCTAAACCAGATACATTCGAGATTTGACCTTGCATCCATTCATTGACTGCCCTAGACTTGATGCATAAAGTGACCCAAGGTATCGTAACATGAAAGAAAAACAGAAAAACAACACGAATAGGCAGCCTACCTTCGAAAGGAGAAAAATAAGAAGCAAACCCAGCAAGCATCAACACCTTCAGCACAAGGAAGTATTTCGGACATGCCCCTGTAATCCCATATAATGCGGCTAGTCACAAGCCTTCTGTACCCCAAAACGAAACGAAAAAAAAAAGACAACACCGAGAGAATGCCAAAACACCGAGAGATCACGCCCCTTGAACTGCCCTGCATTATAATGCTTGGCCAAGGAGGATAGTGACATGCAATGATGAGAATGATGCCAGTACCACATTCCGGAAACGCCGACACCTGAAGGAAGCAATAGAGGACACCCAACGACTGTAGTTGTGGTCGGCGCTCGAGGAGACATGCTCCCAAAGGCCGAATAAGGTGGGCTAGAAAAATGCTCACGTTACTGCGTAAGATCCATGTCATATTCATCCTCTTCTTTGAAGTTGACTGAAGCGTGGCCACTGTTATTGTCATCCGGATCGTGCCAAAATTGGTTGGTGTCATTCAAATCGAGATTGTCATCCGGGCTGATGGCAACAGGATCGAGGCTGCCTCCTCCTCCTGACAAAGAGTCGCCCCGATAATCGGTATGGTGAGGGACTCGCAGACCAGATCCAGCTGTTCGCGAGTAGGAGAAAGTGCCGTTCTCGCTCTTTGTTATAGCGTCCATGAGCTCGGTTTGCATCCGTCGCTCATCTTCTGTCATCTCGAAGGGGAAGTGCCCACCCAGTTCAGCGATAGTGTTCATCATCTCCTCCTGCTGTTGAAGTTTAAGATGGAGCATCCACATGAGATCTCGCGTCCAACTGACGGCGCCGTTGAGGATGTCGCCCTTGTTGGGACCCTTGTCCTTGTCCTCGATAGGGAGACCTGTAGTAATATTACCTGCGGTGTTTCCAGTGGCTCTTCGAGCTCCTGGTCCTGCGAGACCAGACGTTGCTTGAGGGCTGGCGATTCCAGTCAACGATGGAGAGAGAGGTGTCCCGTTTTGGATAAGCTTTCGGATCTTCTCATCCTCCAGACGGTGAGTGGGGACGAGCCGACTGAGATCCTGAATCCTTTCGTTGATGTTATCTCGTCGACGACGCTCAACAAGGTTGTGGGACTCTCGGCGCCGTTTCCTCTTCATTTCCTGAGAGGAAACGGCGTTTGAAGCGACACCAAGCTTCGCGGGCATCGAAGTACCACCCTTCATCATAACCTCACTGATTTGATTCATGCCAGGCTGCATGGGAGAGGAGTACCCAGAATTGTAAGATGCAGGGATGCTTCCAGCAGGGGTGTTGAGCCACTGCCCATTGGCTGACTTCATGGCTTGACCGCCGAAACCGGGAGACTCCTGCGATCCAATTGTCATTCCATGAAGGGTAGCGGTTTTGGGGGTCATAGGTGACATAGGGCTACGGCTATTGGATGTCTTCCGCTGCATCTGCTGGGACATTCTGGCTCTCGCTTTAGCGTTGAGGAAGTTCGGATCGTTGCTATCGGCGTTCATGGCGCCCGCCAGTGGAGATTCGTTGTAGGATAATGGGGAATGCAAAGAGGTACCGAGTGAGTGGCCTTGCATTTGTCGGTACTGGGTGTTGAAACCAGTATTGAATGGGCTTTGAATGGGATCTCCATCGGGGGTACTCGAGTACCCGTTCATATGTGACTGGTCGATTTGCAGGCCCGAGTTACGATGAGGGAATGCATTCTGAGAGAAGCCACCCATACTTAGTCCTGAAAAGTCCTGGCCCTGACCCGAGATTCCGGACTGAGTAACAGGAGGTGCATTTAGACCATCCAAAAGCTCGTCATCATCGAACATAGCAGAGCTATTCGTGAATCCGTTTGTGCCGTTTCCAGAGTTCGAGTTGAAGTTGTTGAATGAAGGAGAATAACCACCTGACATGGCGAGATCGTTAGGGTCGATACTCGCCCCGCTGTGGCCGTTGCCAAATTGGTTGAAGCCGTGCTGAGCCATTGTGACAGTGATGATAGAGGTTAGCTTGTTGTATCGTGATTGAAGAGTCGGATGTTGTTGCCCTAGCAAGAGGGGGGGATGTGGGCGGAATATTGTGGGCGTCCACCAGTTCGGCTAAGGTTGATGGTACGTTTGAGTTACGAAGATCAAGCTTGAACTGGCCTGTTAAGGGCTCGAGTCAGCGAAGTCAGGACAGAGCCGAATACAAAGCGGGGGGAATGCAAAGTTAAGAAGACCGGCTCGGCGATGGGAAGCGGGCATCCATATATGGGGTGCCCACCGCCGCGGAGGTTACAGCAAGGAGGGAAGTGGCGGGCGGATGGCCGGGGGTTGAGGGTTGGATTCCTTTGACTCACTAGACAGAGAGTGTTGTAGCTGAATTTGGAATTTGGAGAGTACAGAGCGTGGGCTATCTGCGGTCCATAAACGAATAGCGAGTGCTAGGCGGGTGTTGATTCAAGCGCTGCAACGAAAAGTATCCCGAATGGAGTTGAAGCCAGATAAGGTATTGTGGGAAAGATGAATGTCGTGAGTCGGAGGGTCGGAGGGAGACGATCGGGGTTGGAGGGGGTTGAAATGGTGGGCACTGAGTGTAGGACCTCCAGGCGTCCGTTCACTACCTATGGTAAGGGCCAGGTACCTACAAGGGGTTAAAGCGCTGGGGGGCGCTCCCTGGGGGTGCAGGTACTCCGCAAGCCAAAGAGCAGAGAATGGGCTTGGTCGCTTTGGCTGGAGTACTTTGTAACGCACGGGCGAAAAGGTCCAATCTATCGTCTGGAACGTACCGTGCTAGCCCCAGTCCAGTGTTATTAGTAGTAGCAGGAGTCTGGAGATGATATCTTGTGGGACGGTCGGCGCGGGGGAGACGGCGGTCGGAGAAGCAGTTGAGGGGTTCTTTGTCTTTGTCTGAGTCGTAGATGAAGCTGCAGACTTGGAAGGGATCAGAATAAACCTAGTTGAGCTAGGCGGTGAAGAGTGTTTATTCAGATTCAGGGTTTTAGTGGCTGTTCTTGGAATGGTGAGATGACCAGTCAGCAATGTAGTTCTGGAATACGGTTGTCTGAGTCGCAGCAAGAGGAAGAAGGATGATGGAGGTCTTGGTTTTGGGCGATGAGAGCGCGAAATGTGATGTGTGTGTGGCACCCGAATCAAAAGAGGGGGTGGGCCACGGTTTTGGTATGTCACTTGTACCTCGTAGCTCGGCGCACCTCAGTCGTGACGGGATATAGGGAGGGAAACGAGATATTCAGAAGGGAAATGAAAACAAGCCGGCAAGATCGTGGGTAACGGGTTATGACAACGACAATAATAAGAGGAATGTATCAAGTTGAAAAGCCGAGCAAACGGCTTGTATAACAAAGAGACAAAGATCGCTGGGGGGGGGGATGTAGATAATGAGGCTATGATGCGTCGTCCTTCCACGAAAGTCCAAGCGGTTGGTAGGGGTTTGTCTGGGCAGAACAACCGGACCAGAGCATACGTACAGCATGACAGGCAACCGGGCAGAAAAGAAGAATGAATTATTCTACTCACCAAGTGTAGTTGAGGCACACAAATGCGCAGAAGGCATGGAAGTAGCTGTGGTATTGAGCTTGCACAGTCGACTTATATGGAGTGCGATGCGGTGCAATAGCCGAGGCGGATAATGCGGCTTAGAGTAGGCGATACAATAATATCTTGAGAGGTAATGCTGTGGTAAGTCGAGTTGAGCGGACGAAGCAGGATAAAGTACCCGAGTTGTATTCGAAGTGTTGCTGGTGTTGCTTGAGCCGTGGTCGAGGTGGTTGTCCAAATCGGGAAATGGAAGGATGTGGATGTGAGTAGCAGCGGGGCGCCGAAATGCAGGGTTCAGGTCCGTAATGTACGGTGATGTGATATGATAGATGGATGTTAAAGCCCGTCCTCGGGGATGATGTGAGGCCGCACTGAAGCTCAAGTTTGAGGACAAGGAGCGAAACTCTCACGATTGAAGTATTGAAGGTTAAAGAAAAGAGAGAAAAAGCCTTGCTGTCTGTCTTGGGACGCGTTCTAATTTATTCGAACACACAGACAAGGTTAGCGAAACTTCGAGATCTGTGTCCAGACAAGTGCGATATGATAAAGTTGGTGGATGGCGCAAACTTGGCGGCAGGATCGGATATCGTGCATAAAAGACCAGCTTGGGCCGAGATGAGCGTTCTCGATTGACGGTGACGTTCAAGAGCAAGCGGTCTGACGTCTTATTGTATTTATGGCGCCTCCAATATAGGCCGGAGGGTCCTAAAGCTCGAGGACAGGTGATGGCTTAGAAGGGAGGGTGGCGTAAGTGTAAGTACAATATGGCAATAAAGTCGGTCAAGGGTCAAGTGCAAGACGACACTTGGTTGTGGC